TGTAGGTGTTGTTTTGGGCGGGCTGCAAGATCCGCAGTTTTTCTTGAATCTATCCACGTGGCGCGGCGCTTGGTGGTGTACAATGTCATTGGAACGATGTAAAGCCGCATGGGTTGATATCAATCTTGCTCAGGTGCATATTCGCTTGTGATGACCCACAAGCCAGGCCACAGGCCAGGCCACACCAATTGCCGTAGGTAGCACCATCAGAACAGAGTAAAAGCTCGCCGTCGCTCGGCCCGCTGGCGCGGGACGGGGGGAGGCACGAGGCTCACTTCGTCACAGGTTATGCGCCCCTATGCAACCACTGCCCCCCACCAGTCCACCACAACATTCCACCGATCCCAGCGCCCACAATCCAACAACCAACAAACACACAACACGAACAAAGCGCGCTAAACAACGCGCCATCAACAAAGAAATCAACGAACACATCAACCAGCTACTACGCCAAACACAACTCAACGAAAACGATCAACATCAACCCAAAGACACAACACAACAGCGCACAAATGAACACACTCGAACAACTCCCCAAACTCAACGACACCAACTACACGTACTGGTACGACGCCTTCCAACTCCACACGAGGACGATCGAAGCCGCACACATTCTCGAAACCGACCCAGCACCCACCACAGACCCAGCAATCGCGCAGCAACACGCCAAACAAGCCGACCAGCTCCGCAAGCTCATCATCCCTAGCCTCCCGCCCGCGATCGTAGCACTCCTCCAACCCACCATTCTCCGCGAATCCCCCCGCCACATCTGCACCCTACTCCGCGAACACATCCACGACGCGCATATAGAAACCCACGAAGTCCTCGACGCCGAGGCACGTTCTAACAAACTCCTACCTGGCTCTGATTTCTCTACATTCGTCGACACACACATCTCAATCCGTCAGAAAATGATCAACGCAAACTACCCCAACATTTGGCAAGAAAGGACAACAGTCAACTACATGATACAGGGAATCAGCAACCACCCCGATCTCGGCCTCGTCGCTGTAATCCTTGCTGACACACCACCCGCATCCATCCGTCAGCTCACCAACCATGTCCGTCAGGTAATGCTCATGTAGAACAAGCAACACAACACTACCCCACAACAACCCGCATTCCCCAAACAGACACAACAGCCACCGATCATACCCCATCAAACACACCAGCAGCAGTACCAGCCACGCCAACCCTACCAGCTGACACCGCAGCAACGACGCAGCCCGAGGCAACTCTGGACACCACGCAACCACCAGCGCCCCAAAGGATGGACCGGCAAGTGGTGCAGTCACCACGGCAGCATCACCCACAACACTGAGCAGTGCTACACACTGCAAGGAATCCGCGGTCAGCCATACAACGCCAACAGCATTTACGAAGACGACATGCAACGACAGGGGGACATCCGCACACACAACAACACCAACGACACGAACACCCAAGAACTACAACAGAGAATCGAGCAACTCGAACAAATCATAGCAGCACAGCACGCGGACACCAACACCCCACCAGGTAAGCTCCACTTCCTCCTAGACTCCGCCGCTAACCCCACACACGTCACCCATCCACACCATGAACTCCGCCCATCCACCGGGAAACTAACCCACACGGCCACGGGCCAACACTGCCCCATCACGCAACACGGCAAGATGACAATATCCACGACGCCTAAACGCGTCGACACCAATGCAGTTTGTGCATCTCTCCTACGCCACAACCTACTGTCCGTCCACGACCTCACACGCCACGGCCATGTCACATTCACGCCAAACGAAGCAACCCTCCACGCGCCAACGAAGCTACCATCACCGCTACTCAAAGCTAAATATCATCAAGGTTTCTACCGCACCGACACCGGCACCACGCACGCGTCTCCCAAACGGGCCATAGGCAACGTGCTAGCCGCCCGAGGCACACCCTACAACAGACAACAACAACAGCAAAATAAATCCCCATCACCTCCAACACCACCACGCCCCAAGACCACAACACTCACCACCAAACCCGCGAACCTGCTCAAAGCAACACACCGCACCAAACCAACCAAAGTCAACATACCCACACCATCACCTCACCGTATCAGAGCAGCGGCACACGAGCCGCCAACAACACCACCAACCGCCGCGCGCAAACAAATGCACGAATGGCATCTCAAGCTTGGGCACCTACGCCCCAGATCCATCGCAAAAATGGCCAAACATGGATTAATCCCCATCCTACCGCGCACACTGCAAACCAACCCACCCAAGATATCCTGCTCCGGTTGTATCGATGGCAAGACGGCCGCCACCCCCCACAAACGTGCGGTGCATACGACCGCTGCAGGGCAAAGCCTGTCATCTGATGTTTGCGGTCCCATATCACCACCATCCATGCAGAACAGCAAATACTTCATGACCATCCTGGATACAGCAACACGCTACCTCGTAGTAGCATTCCTCTCCACCGGCGCCCAAGTACCCGCCACCCTCACCACAGCCATCGAGTCCATCGCGAGCTCAACAGACAAATACCCGCTCATCGTAACAACCGACAATGCAAGGGAGTACACCTCCAAATACGTACAACAGTTCCTATCTCAGCGAGGCATCAAATTCAAGCCCTCCACTCCCTACACACCCCAGGAAACCGCACTCG